ATCAGGAAGGGGGCCAACACTTTTTCACACCACTGTATATAAATGCACACACATACATATATGTATTTAAGAAATAATTACATGTATAAATATGTATATATATATATATATATATATATATATATATATATATACATGTAAATATTTCTTAAATATATACATCTATGTGTGTGTATTTTATTATTACAATTAAAAAGTATCAATTATTAAAGTATTATATATAATTTAAAAATGTTCAATTCTTAAAAAAAATTTTAAAAAAAAAATTTTACTGAGCCCAAACTTTTGCTCAATAGTATATAAACAGGAGATGGTCATGCTGAAAGCTTCTTATTAATATCATGACGGTTAATTTTGTCTAGAGCTGCTAAATTCAATCTGGTGTTGCTGAATTCAGCCTAGACCTTTTGAATCTGGTCCAGAGATGCTGCATGTTGTCTAGTGCTGCTGAATTTTGTCCAAAGCTACTGAATTTGGTCCAAAGCTGCTGAATTCCATGTGATACTAATGAATTCAGTCCAGAGTTGCAAAATTTTTCCAGAGTTTTACAAGAATTTCTGAATTCGGTACCATTAACCTGGACAAGAGGGCTGAATAAGTTGAATAAGGATCCCTTTGCCAATTTTTTGTCTAGACCACTTGTGATCCCTGTAAGACCACGCACACACATCACAGATCATATCGAGAGTATTTCTGCAGGTGCATGCACGCTGGCATTTCACGTAATTAAAGGTTGACCTTTATAATAGAGGAACAAATGTCAAGGGGTCCTTCTCATCTGACAAGCAGGAGAACCTAGAGGGAGGTGTGTGTGTGTGTGTGTGTGTGTGTGTGTGTGTGTGTGTGAAGCTCAATGTCTGAGTGTGAGAAGGATTTCTCAGATGTTAAAAATGTGTGTTTGTGTGTGTGTGTGTGTGTGTGTGTGTGCGTGCATGCGTGTGTGTGTGTGTGCGCATGTTTGTTTGTGCACAGACTGTGTCCTTGGCTCTGAAAGGCTTCAGCAGTGCCCAAATGAATGAATTGTGGAGTTTTTTCGACTAGTGGTAAAACCGGATCAATAACATCACAGCACAGGTATATGGTGACATTTTAATTGCTGAGTAGTTCCTACATAAAAAAGACAGGCCTTCCAAACAGCCTATAAACATGTTCTCAGATTGATGAAATATCTATGACCACGCCTGGCCAAAAGAGGAACAGATGACTTGGGGTCCTTTGCACATGTGGCATGTGTGAGCGTGAGACTGGTGTAAGCACTCTAATGAAATGATGCTGCGTTCTGGAGAGAAATGTTACGGAGTCACTGAAAAACTTGATGCAACACTCAGTACTCTGACGGCATCACACACGCTGATTCACACAATTTAGTCAAATGAATAGGATTTATTTGAATAATAAAAGGGGTGTTTAATTTTTGTGATATTCTCATAGATCTTTCTTAGATTCTTTGAACTTGTGTACGCATCCAGTAGAATGATGTTGTTGTTTATGTTGCCTTGTTTTAGAAATTCAAAAACGATATCTTATGGTTATACTGAATTTTGAATGATTACCATTATGTTTTTCTCTAAATGGTTAGGGTTAGGTTTAGAGATGGCAATTGATGACTCAAAAATATCTATGGTATACTGTAGTAAATTCTGTTTTTTTTATTGTTGGAAAAGTGGTTATGTTTTGTTTTATTGATAGGGTTAAGGGATCTAAAATATATCTATAAAACGTATATAGATATAAAAGTATAAAAATCTATAAAATGTATAAAAATATACAAATATTCATAATATAAAGAATTTATATGTATTCTTTTTTTTTATCCTATAGCTGTAAGTACAAAAAACTAAACTAAAATTAAATGATTGTACGTTTCAAGACAGACCACGTCTGTCAAACTCCAAAACACTAGTAAATAATGGGTTGAACCACTGCTTTGATTGTACAAAAACATGTCATATACTTTACCTTCAATTAATCTCGCTCTCTTTTTTAACCTGTAGGAATTATAAAAGAAGAGGAAAGTGGAGAACATCATGTAAGAACACAAATGCCGACTGTTTATTTCCAAAATCTTTTTGGAAATAAATTAAATAGGCCTGTGTGACATGGGAAACAACCCCGACAGAAAACCCTTCAGCAGCAAAGGAGAGTCGCTCCTCCATTCATCTGTCTAGACATTTTCCCACACAGAATAAGCACATCTACTCTCTCCTCTGAATGCTCTTATGGGTAAATAATCCACAGAAAGCATCTAATTTGAACGTCGTTTTGGATTCTTCCGTGTGATTGTGGGCGAACTCTAGAGGTAGCCATGTCTGGTAAGGGCAACCCCAGCCCACACCTCAATGGCTTCCCAATGGCCCACTATTCCTATTTCTTCCCGCACATACTGGGAGGGCTTTCTCCGCCTTCTCTGCCCACCCTACCCCTCAGTGGATACAGCACACCTTCACCAGCCAGTGAGTATGACATAAAACCCTTCAAAATCTCCTGCTCAATGAAACTTGATTGATTGATTGATTGATTGATTGATTGATTGATTGATTGATTGATTGATTGATTGATTGATTGATTGATTGATTGATTGATTGATTGATTGATTGATTGATTGATTGATTGATTGATTGATTGATTGATTGATTGATTGATTGATTGATTGATTGATTGATTGATTGATTGATTGATTGATTGATTGATTGATTGATTGATTGATTGATTGATTGATTGATTGATTGATTGATTGATTGATTGATTGATTGATTGATTGATTGATTGATTGATTGATTGATTGATTGATTGATTGATTGATTGATTGATTGATTGATTGATTGATTGATTGATTGATTGATTGATTGATTGATTGATTGATTGATTGATTGATTGATTGATTGATTGATTGATTGATTGATTGATTGATTGATTGATTGATTGATTGATTGATTGATTGATTGATTGATTGATTGATTGATTGATTGATTGATTGA